TTAACTATATATTCCAAATCACTTATGCGCTTATTTGACATCTCAGCTTCCCGAATTAGGCACTCATTTTCCTTTTGTAGTAAGGTTACTTCCGTGCTGCTATTAGAACATTGACCTCTAAGATTTTCGCTGCACGTTCTGCATTTCCAAGTTTTTTTCTCAATAAAAACCACTTTTGCCACTAAATCAAAACATTTACTATGAAGGAGCACATTACATTTTGCAGTAGAACATTTTACACCACCTCTACTAATTGTTTCATTACAAATTTTACACTTTTTATCGAGCGACTCGGATTCAACATCTACATCGCCCGCCATGTTGGCATTGAGTCTTCGAGAGGTATTTGTAGTAGATTGTCTAAGTCTGGGTCTGATTCGTCAATTTGGGCTATCATGGAATTCATATCGTCAGTTTCTATAGCATTCAGTCTTATACGAGAAAAGGGATCGGCTTGGTTTGTTTTACCTTTTTATATTTAATAGTGTGTTAATTCCTCTAATTTAAGTCTCCAACGAGTCTGGAGTTAGGATCTTTTAAATTACACAACCACTGCAGGGGTTGGTGATCTGTTTCGATAGTAAATTTTGTGCCAAACAGGTATGGTCTAAAATATTTTACAGAATTGACGATTGATAAGAGTTCTTTTTCGATTGTCGAGTAGTTACACTCGGCGGGATTAAGAGTTCTGGAATAGTAAGAAATTGGTTGTCCGTCTTGGCTTAATACGTTTCCAATGGCAAAGTTGGATGCATCGCAAGTAAGGGTAAATGTTTTATGAAAGTCAGGATAGGCTAATACGGGTTCGTTACAAAGTAAATTTTTACAAAGTTCAAAGCAATCTAAATAATCTTGTGAAAAGTCGATTTTTGAATATTTTTTTAAATCTTAACGTTAATGGTTTTGTTACTATTGCGAAATTAGGTATAAATTTTCTATAGAATCCTAAAAGTCCTAAAAAAGATTTTATTTCTTTAACGGTTTTTGGCAAGGGAAATTTTTTTATAGCTTCTATTTTCTTTGGGTTAGGTCTAATACCTTCTGGGGCGATTACGTGTCCTAAAAATTCTACTTGTTTGCAAAGAAACTCAGATTTATCTAGTTGTATTTTTAGATTTGCTTCAGCTAGCGTCTTAAACACAAGTTCTAAATTTTGAATATATTCTTGAAGGGAAGTACTAAAAATAATGATATCGTCCATATAGACAAAACAAATTTTATGCTGAAGGTGTTTGAGGACGTTGTCCATTACTCGTTGAAATGTCGCAGGTGCATTTTTTAACCCGAAGGGCATTCGTACATATTCGTAATGCCCGTTTTCCGTATTAAATGCAGTTTTTTCTATAGAGTTTTCGTGCATCTCTATTTGGTGGAATCCGCTCGCTAAGTCAAGGGTAGTGAAATATTGGCATCTTCCAAGTTTGTCAAGAATGTCACTAATGTTGGGTAAAGGATATCTGTCAGTTTTTGTGTTGTTAACTTTTCTATAGTCTACTACTAGTCGCCATTTTTGTTTGTTTGTAGCGTCAATGTTTTTTGGGACAATCCAAATAGGAGAACTAAAAGGGGATTTAGACGGCCGAATAATTTTTGTAACATTTCATTAATTTGTCGTTGGACTTCTTCTTGGTGTATACGAGGATACCGATAACTTTTTGTATGGACAGGTTTTTCGTCGAAAGTCTTAATCTCGTGTTTTACTTGATTGGTAAAAGTTAAAGTATCGCCAGGAAAGTAAAAACAATTTTCATGCTTTTTACAAAGTTCAAACAGGTGGAATTTTTCTTCGGAATTTAAATGTTCTGTTCTAAGCAGCGTTGTCACGTCTCTCGAATTTTGATTGATGTGGTTTAATGGGATTTCCGTCTTATTTTTAATTTCTAATGATTGGGTGAAATATTCATCTAATGGATCTGCGGGTAAAGTTTGGTCAAGAATGATAGATTGGTCTTCATTCGTGATATTATATACTTCAACTTTTGCTAGTCCGTTTTTTGCGTGAGTTACACAGTCGGGAATACAAAGATGTGTAGTGTATTGGCCTTGTATAAAAATATCTCCGGATAGGATGTCAACAGGGAATTCTACAATATGGATAGAATGAGCTTCGATTTTTACAGGCTTATTGTGTCTTTGTATTTGAAGAGGGATGATACAATTTTGGTTTGATAGTTAAATTCGTCGGGTCAATGATTAAACTTAGATGTTGAAGTGTTTCGAAACCTATAAGTCCGTCAAAATCTTTACTGAAATTAAATAAAATTATTTCCTTGTTATAATCTGAATTGAATTCGTCAAAGATTGGAATATTTGCTGAGAAATAAGAATTTTGGGAACCAGTGCAGGTAGCGATGGTATTGGTTTTAGGATAAGTACAGCCTGGATAAAATTTTGAAATTATAGAAGGTTTCATGATATTTTTTCCACATCCTGTATCTAAAAGAAGTCGAATAGGTGGGTTTTGAATTTGGATGAAAGGGAGTTTATTATTTTCGACATTATTCAGGACTACTATTGGATCCTGGGGAAAATGAGCTTTATGAATATTTGTTTCTTGGGAGTTTTACAAAAACTTTTTGATTTGTCGGGAAGTTGTATGTTACACGTCGCGATGGAGGCAAATTAACGGGTTGTGATGGGAATTGTCGAGGATTATTAGATAGCTGTGATTGAAATTGTTGCGAGCGGTGAATAATTTTGTTGAAATTGTGGGCTGGGACGAAGTGGTTTAATTTGTGTTTTTTGTGGGGGTTTCCTAGTATGTCTATTTTGGAATATAAGTCGTTTGTAATTATCGTATTTAATTTCGTCTTCTATAAAGCTGACTGCTTGTTCTATGGTACGAATGTCTTGTCTTGCCGTAATAAGTTGTTCATAATGATAAGGTAAATTTAATTTGAAAATGTTAAAAGCTTGCGTTGAAAAAAATGAAATTCGTCCGGTTTTTTCATTGACTGATAAGAAATTTTGTTGCACTTTATTTATAATTCTAGCCTCAAGGGCTATTAATTTTTGACCAAATGAATGAATATCTTCACCTGGGGCTAAGCTCGTATATTGAAGTTCGAGTTCCAAAGTCTCTAAAGATTTGTTATCAGAAAAATTTTCTTTAAAGAAATTTCCAATTTCTGGCCATGTTTTAATATCAGGCCTATCTAGCAATGACTCGCGTGCATTACCTTGTATCTTAGTTTTAATGGATGCAAGTATGATTGTTTGGTGTCTGGGGTCGTCAGTACTAAGGAAATGAATTAAATTTTCAGTTTTGCAAAAAATCCGGAAGTTCTATATATCTTCCTGTAAATACTGGTATAAGTTTAGTTAACTTATCTAATGTATCCAAATTAAGGGGACTTGCCGAAGTTGATTGTGTCATTTTGACTAAATTATTAAATTATTTTATCTTTCGGACTATCATCTTTCTTGCTCACACCCTGTATAGGCGAGTCGAGATAGTATGAAAGAAAACAAACAAATTTTAAACCAAATATTTTATTTTTCGGACTATCTTTCTTGCTCACACCCTGTATAGGCGAGTCGAGATAGTATGAAAAAATAAAAGAAAAATTCTTACACTAAATTTCTTTCTAACCGCTCAGCTAACTAAGTAGTCGATGCAAAGTTAAATTGAAATAAAAATTCCTATACTAAATTTCTTTCTAACCGCCTGACTAGCTAAGTAGTCGTTGCAAGATTAAATTGAAATCTCTAACCGAAAAATGTTTTCAAAGCCGGTCTATTAATTAGACTGCAATTTGAATCAAATTTTCTAAATTATACGCTTTTCTGAGAGTTAAACTTGTCAGTTCACTTTGAGAAATAAGCGAACAGTAAGAATTTGCAAATCTGGTACTTACAGCTGTTGAGACTAGTTAACCAACCACTAGTAGTTCTGCCCAATAAATTTCTTCGAATGGTGCCAAAAAGACCTCTTAAAATTGTATCGTAGTTGAACTGCTGACAAAGAAACCTCCTGGACTGGATTTTTGAAAATTCAAAACTGGATCCAAAAGGCACTACGGTCCTACCGACTGCGCCAATAAAATTATAGGTCTGGATGTTTATAAGTTTTTATTAGCACCAACGTAAGTTGACAAGAACAAAGCAAAAACAATATTGTACATGTAATCTAGCGGAGATGCTTTAAATAAGAATAAATTATATGCATCTTCGTTTCTGGAATAAGATGATGCGACAGGAATGCTGATGTTACATTATATGTTATATTAGATATGTTTTTATACTGAAAAATAAAAATAGAGGTCATACATACTATGTAATTGTAACAGCTTACCAATTAAATTGAAAATATTATAATATTTTGACTAAAAACGAACTTTGTGTTATAACTTCAGAAGGCGTACGCGCACCGACTTCTAATTCTAACCAGCAACTACCGCACACATGACAATCTAAATACTATGTTAACTCCCTTTGTAAGTCTTGCCAACTCTTGAAAAAGACAAATGCGTACTCTTAAGGGTCGCGTACTCTTAAGCCTTCCTACCCTATAATGGCCCCTTGTATTTACACGATGTTGGCACAATGAATTTAAATAATATTTAAAGGCGTTATATTGGCCTCTTGTGTTTTACATAATATTGGCATAATGACTTTAAATAATGTTATGCCAATAACATTCATAATATATATAATGGTGGAATATTGTAATTTAATTAAGAACTAATATTGGTTCAATCCCACAAAAATATATTTTATTTCTGACCGGGATATTATAAGCTTATATCGTCATAGTTACGCTATCAATAAAGAGAGTCATAACTCCCTTGGGACATTATAGATTCTATAATTCACTCTACCTTTCACAAGTAAAAATAAAATAAAAAATGCTAATATACATATATGTGTATATATTTATGAAATGAAAACTGAACCATATTTTATTTATTTGCGTCATTACAAATAATAAATGTACAATTTTGAAATGTTCCCTGAAAATTACTACCGCCACTGGAAACAATTTCTTCTTTTGTATGACTGGAGCTTCTGTCCACTACAGTCGAGGTACCTGCCTCTTCTAATGGCAAAGTAGACAACATACGCGCCGTTTTATTTCTCAATTCGATGCTATCCTCCAGATACCCCTCCGCCACCGTGGAACTTTTCCAACCTCCGTGTCTTTTTAAGTTAGTCATAGTTGCTCCTGCATTAGCTAGAGCAGTAGCAGAAGTGCGACGAAGGCAATGTCCCGTATAGGAAGATGGGTTTGGCAATCCTAAATACATTGCGATTTTGATGGGAATTTTCCCAAACATGTTTTTTTCCAATTGGCTGAGATGTACATTTATTTTGACGGAAGCGCAAAAAAAATCGTTCAATACCTTTAGGACGCAAAGACATATAAAGTCTTAATAAAGGCAAAGCAGAGAACTCTTTTTCATCCACAATTGTAAATTTCTTCGATACACCAGTTTTACTTTCCGGTACGTTCACTACCATAACGGAATCCCGGTCCTCTATATCCGATATCTTCATATTCAAAAGTTCCTGACTTCTGCATCCTCCAAAATAACCCATAATCAAAACACCTAAAACAAAAAAAGGAAATAAATACACACAAAAAGGAAAATAAGAAAAAATTACCTTATGCAATAAATGAATTTCATTAGGAGCGTTCTTTGGAAATCTGATAACATCATTAGGAGATAAAACAGCAGACTTTTTCGGCTTATAACTCTTACTCTTCCGTTTCAAAAAAGCCTCTAGTTCATTGAACTTGGCGATATCTCGTTTCTCATGTATATTCACCTTCGATTTTAGCATTGACCATTTAGTCCATAAAGAATTCGGACTATACGTTTCTGACTGCAACGAATAAACAAAATTATTACCAAATCTACCGAATTACGTAGAATATTCCTTACCAATTCTTGAAAATATGCCAGTAATACAGTTTCAGTGGCATCTGTCCGCGTTTTTTCAAGTGTAGCCCCCTTCCGCACAAGCCTTTGGCTTTTGGATTTGGGGGTTGTCTCATTTCTGTGGTGTGTTTTATGTTTTTTTTATCTTTTGGCATAACATTATTCCGTGTCAGCCACTCCAGATATATCTTGTATTCTTTTTGGTATACGGCTTCACTTTTCGATGGAATTAATGATTCTCTTGCTTTTTCAGCTTTTTTCAAAATCTGCTCCATTATATTTGGGGTAGAAAACACGTTTTTAACGCAAACACAGCTTGATAACAAAGTTCTGTTTATAAACAAGTAACAATTCTGTTTATAAACACGTAACATAGCAACAACCCAGCAACAACAAAACTCTTATAATCAATGGTACCTGATTCAAATATACTGGGAAGGTAATAAATTGGTAAATTTTTTCCGTTTTAAAAATAAACAATATTTTATTGAAATCGGTCAGAAATAAAATTATCTATGTACCACGGGAATTAATGAGCCTTAATAACCTCAGGCAATTGCTGTCCCTCGGGCCGGACGCCCTCGGGACGCAAACTTTGCCATCGGTAATTAAGACCCTTATAATTCCCTAGATACATAAATAACTATTTCACAATGTTAAATGCAATGTTATGCCAATATTTGTACCCAATAAAATGAAACAGTTATTTTTATAAAATAATGGTCTAACTTTGGTTTCATATAGATTTAGAAATATTGGTTTACTAAATGAAATCATTAATGTACCAATAATGGCAAAATCTTACAAATATTGGGCCGCTGTTTAAATATTTTGCCAATATTGGTCCATTAAATGTGTGCTACGTCGGAGTTCGTTCCTGATTATATAAATTTGATAAAATTTTATTTGTCAGGCAATTTTCGCCTTGGCGGTTTATATAAAGAATTTAGTTTTTTCGAATATTCTAGAAATCCAATGTTTTCTACAAAACTTAGGGGTTGAAAATCAGTTGCTATCATACGTACTATACACAGATCAAGTTCCTTTGTAGCTGCATCAGATAATGTAGTTTTAGTACGAGCATCAAATAATTTTACTTGTCATGGACGTTTCAAGGGTGGATCTTGTTCTTGTGTTTGTTATTGCTGTTGTTCTTGATCTCGTACTTCTCGAGAAGCTTGTACCACCTGAAATACACCTTCAGAATTTATACTTGGTGTCGGGTCATCTTGTTGAAGAACACCTTCAGAACTTGTACTTGGTGTCGGATCATTTTGAGTAATTTCAATAGAAGGTTCAGTTTCCGATTTAAAATCAACAGGATGAATTCTCCTAAGGTGGTTATTTAAATTTGTGGTATTACCACTAAACTAAAATCTTTTCGGCATAATAAACATGTAACGAATTTCTTATGATCACTTTGTTTGTAGAACTGACAAATTAAAGATTTCTTAACTCCCGGTCTTTTATTAGATATTAAAGAGTATGTAACCGATATAAACTGAAAGTATTTAACTGTGAACTAAATAAAACAATGAGGTACTTTTGAAATTTTAAATCGACTAAAACTAATTCTTCTAAAATTAAAATAAAACAAGTGCTGGATAATAATAATTTATTGTACTGTATGTACGTATGGTATGGCGGCATCACCACAGCCCAGCATTGCGCTGCGCATCGGCATCGATCCTACTCCTACCTCCTACAGTGGCGGCTCGTCTGGTGACGCAAGTGAAGCACCGCTTCACCTAAAATTTTTGTTTGGTTGTACAATTTAAAATTATTTTAAATTTTATATAAATTTTATAATTTAGGTATAATTCTATATTGAAAATGTATTTGTTGTATCTGTATGTATCTGTTTGTTTGTTTAATACGCAGAAATAAACAGAATGGTTACGCGGTGAACGTCCTCTAAAAAAGCATTGCTTTCGTTGAGCGCAAATATCAACCTCGGACCATACAACGTATAGTATACGCAAGTGACAGATTGAAATCAGTCTGTATTCTGCTTCTCTTCGTAGCGTTGTTTATGGCGGTTGTCATGGTAATGTGGTGACCAACATGGGAGAAAATTACGCCGTGGGGGAATGAATGACGCGGATATTGAAGCAGCATTATCATCGACCATCGACCATCGCCTGCCTTTAACAGTTTATACGATACACGTCGCCTAGTGCACAATTATAACGGTTCTTTATTAATATTTGTTTTGTATAATAATTGTAGAAATGTTTCCGATGTGTGACCCAGTATGAGTTTTATTGGAAACGCCATTTTCCAGATGGAAAATTGAGGACAAAGAGAATTTTTTAAATTGCGAAAGACCTGTGCCTTATTTTCTCAATATGGAAAAAAGGGAAAGTCAAAAGGCAACGTGTACGTTCGAAAGTTTCGGAATGAATGGTATTCAGAGTATAAGTGGTTGTGTGGAAGTATTCATTAAAAAAACTTTTCTGTATGCCGTGTTTAATTGTGGGTGTAAAGTCAGGCGTGTGGAAGGTCACGCGAGGTTGTCGTAACCACAAAGCTTCTTTGGAACATACATGTATGGTGTGCGTTAATGTTCACATAAGTCCACAAGCCGAACTAATACGTCTATTTTTTATAAAATCTAAATGAAAATCCTTCTCACGAACGTCAGTTTTTCGTTAACATTGCAAATGCAATTAAAAATTTCCAGATTAATTTAAAGTCGTTTGACCTTGAAAATTTGAAAATTTTTGCCAGTGGCGCTTTTCTTTTTTCATTTTAGTCAATGAATATGCTTCACCTATTCTCAATGTTACGAGCCGCCACTGACCTCCTACGACATATGAACTATTCGAATGACTATTCTCAAAATATATTCGATTGTGCCCATCAGTACGTCACACTAATGGACTTAATTGCACTGGAATTTAATGTACGCATGTTTTCATTTTGACTTTCATCTATCTACCAGCTTCAGAAACCTCAGGCACACCTGTTATGGCTATTTTGGAAAGTAAGGCTAATAACCGCTCTTCAAGATCGGTAAGGCTTAGTGGGCTGTATTTGGGTACTTGGATTACAATAATTATAATATTTTTTTGTTATTATGACATATATCAACTTTTTTCTTTTATTACAACATAGCATTGAACTTGTTATCCTAGTGTAAGTTTTAAAATGCTAAATAATTGCAATAATCGCGGCGCATGTACATATTATCCTTGCTACACCTAAAATATACTGTGCGCATCTCTTTAGAATCTTTTTCTTTCCAGAATGATAAGGTATACATATACTATAAATGAGTAAGGCAATCTTATACTACATCAATAGGTCTTAAACATTTTATTATGAACTTAATAAATACAGACAAAAAGTATAATTATGAAATAACCGCTTAAAATATAATAAAATTGCCTACATACTAATTACTAACTAATACGAGAAGAAAATACAAATCGAAAAGTAAAAACAAATCAGTTTCATTGATTTTTACATAGGATTAATTTAGTATACAGGGCTGGAAAATCCACATGGTCCATCTGCCTTTACATGAGAGCGACAAAGTAAAGTAAAGAAATCCGTGCGACTGACAAGGATGGCTCTAGTGAAGACGTTTCATAATCTGAATAGTCACCGCCCGTTTCGGGTTAGAAGTGGGAGTGACTATTCAGATTATGAAACGTCTTCAATGTAACCATCCTTGTCTATCGCACGAATTTCTATGACTTACTTTATCGCTCTCACTTAACGGCCGATGTACCATGGGGACTTTCCGAACCTGTATATATTTCTAGCGAATGTTATCGTCCTTTTGGGATCTGGCTTTGCCCTTGTGAAATAATCTGATTGTAACGAATGTTTTTATAATCATTTGAATTAATTGGGTTATGTGGTTGTCCAGCACACAACCAGAAATATATGACTACAATTTCACATGTTCAGTAAATTCAACAGAGCTAAATACTGACGAAGGTGCTTTCCGATGAATTTTATTAATGAGAAATTGCGAAATGTTTTTACTTTTAAATAGCTCCGTTACACCTTTTCTGCATGTAAACAAATATAGCAGGCATCTTTTGAGGGATATAAAAACTTACCTCTATTTAAGTCTTATATGAACAGGTTTTTTTCTCATTGTCATCAGCAAATAGTTGCTCAATGCAAGTTTCACAATGATTTTTCTTAATTATTTTGCGAACAATGAATCCTGCTATATATCTCACGATATTTTCTATAAAGGGTGTCAATGTCCACAACGTATTCAAATAGTCGTGGCTAAGAAGATCTGCTTGCACATTACAGTTCCCTGCCGATTCAACAGATTTGGTCTTGTTGATGAAACTTGCAAAATGGGAATGTCATCGTCTGTGCAATTTACATTTGACGTACTGATTTCATGACAAATGAGAAGACGTTTGTATGCTGATTGTTTAGCAGTAGGGTTGTCGTTAAAACCTCTCCTACTTCTTACTACACTAAAAAAAAGCTTCTAAAAATTTTGAATGTTAAGAGATATTCTTGTCCTAGTTCGTGTTCCCAATTGTGTTTCATTAAATAGGTTAAAATACAACATCCGGGTTATTCGTAATTATTTATTCATTAATTGTTCTCATACCACTCTTCCGATTTTACCATTCAAGACCCATGAAGGCGGCGTACTCTGTTGATAGTACACTTGATAGTGGTCGGAGCAATGTATGATGAAAAGTTCAGGTCCTCAAAGCTGTTCCCAGATGCTAGGAAGCGCAGTGTGAGAGTCAACCTTTCAGTTGGCAAATTCACTGTTCTCATTCGTGTATCACGTTTCTCAATCTGAGGGCAAACCATACTAAACAGTTGCTCAAACACCTCTTAATTCATCGAAACATATGCGGCTATGGTTGAGTACAACGCGATGCGCCGTGCTTCCATCACGAATGTTTAGTCGACACTGACATTTTATGCAATATTTTTGTGTAATGTGAGGGGTCCAAGACCATTCAATATTTTGTACAAAAATAAGCTCAATATTTGTGCTCAAAATTTTTGAGGGAAATTTTTGCCAGTGTGAGGGCCC